AATTGAAGTTACAGGGGGCTGTATTTATTATATCATTATTGCTCTTTATCACTGCAGTAGTATTTATAATAAAAGAATTAGTCACGAATTTTACTGTTGCCTAAATACATGTTTTAATTGCACTTTATTCGTTTTGTGTTGTTTTATATTCTCCTTGAAAAAGTACTGAATTTTACTTCTCTTTTTTTTAACTGAGGTGGTAATTAAAAAGTAAATTAAATATCGCAAACAAGTGCTCCTCCATCATGTGCATTGCAAAATTCTTGATATAATTCTTTAAACTTTTCATCAGTACAATCAGTATCACTTATTGAATATTTCCAATCTCGTAAACATGATCGTTTACCAGTAGCTGTTGGATTTTTATTCATGCACTCTAAATAATCGTCAGAGTATTTTCTAAGTGCCCAACTAGCACAAGAGGCATTAACTATAACAATACACAAAACAAGTACAATCAATGTTTGAACCAATTTCATTTATGGATCTGTTATTATTCTTTACTAGTTCTAAAATTCTTTTTCCATCTTATTTGAATTTTACTTGTTATATATAACGAATCATACTTGTATATCAAATAGACTTGTTTTTATTTCAGTCTTATCTTACTCTTTTCTTCAATCATTCTCACAACAATATGCAACTGAAATCTCTCTTTATTCATGAACAAATACCAAGTTAAACGATTTACACCAGAAGAAATTTCATCAATGGTATTAAGTAAAATGAAAGAAACAGCAGAAACATTTGTTGGAAAAGAAATAAAGAATGCAGTTATTACATGTCCAGCATATTTCAATGATTCTCAAAGACAAGCTACTAAAGATGCAGGAACAATTGCAGGAATGAATGTGATGAGAATTATTAATGAACCTACGGCAGCAGCTATTGCATATGGACTTGATAAAAAAAGTTCAGGAGAGAAGAAAGTATTGATATTATTACTTCTTTTGTTAACTTATTCAGATACACTACGTTGGAAATTACTTACAAAAAGACTCTTATGTGTATAATTTCATTGTTCTATCACAATTTGAGAAAAAGATGATAGTTGGTTTAGTGTGGGATTTGTTATGCTTGACTTATTTTCAGTCTTCATAAGTTTAATTTCTTTTCTTTCATTTTAGTTGTAGTTTTTAAAAATTATTTTACCAATTCCCTCAAATAAGAATTAATTTAATGCAAGTATTAATGTCTCTGTTATAAAAATAAAGCATTCAACCTATTAAATTCTATTGGTTATATATATTTTTGGAGCTTATTTAGACACACTAACACAGTTACTTTTAACCATGATAAACTGTATAGACTTTCTTCTAAGTTAAGTATTAGTGTTGATATCAACTTTAACACCAGAAAAATAGTTTAAATAAATTATATTTCACTCAAGATGAAATTCAAGTTGAACAATAAATATAAAAATTCTTTATTTTTTTTTTGAATCAAAAATGAAATATGCTTTGAATATTCAAATTTATTCAACAAATCAAATAACTTTTGATAATATCTATAATATTATTATAACCAATATGTGTCATTTCTTAAAATAATAGAGAAAATATTACTTTAATACATTTTGTTGTATTAATTCACTTAAAAATATTATTGTACTATTTTTAAAGATAACTTTGATGATATTAATATTATCATTATTATTTACCAAGACAAACAATTGCTTTCATTTTTATGATATAATTAAATTTGGTTATGTAAAGACAATAAATAATTTGAATCTTTTGAAATTATTTGATAAATAAAATGACGTATTAAAATAATTAGAATAAAAAAAAGTAGGATATATAATCTCAGTTATATTTAAATAGAATAATAAATTGTTATTAGTATATTATTTGTAGAACAGTAAGAAAATGCAAAATAAGAGAATTTCAAAATTTTAATACCATATATCTATTTTGGTATTATAAATACTGATAAATGACAAGTAGGTGAATTTAATATATAAAATTTCTATTATATTGATAGTTTCTATGTCTCACATTAAACTTTCATTTTTTTAGTATATTCAAAAACTTTATATTATATAAAACATTTGGTATTTCACATTTTTAGTAATTATTGTTTGTAGTATTATTGAAGCATTCTTATTATTGTTTGCATAGTAATTAATTTATTGATAATATTATATTAATTATTTTTACAATTTATTACTTCTCTATTTTCATTAGTTTATATTCAATTTGTCTTTATTAACAATTTCTTCATTTACTTTCTTTATTTTATTTATTATTCATTAAAATTAATCTTCTTACCAAATATTTTCATCATTCTTTTTATTATTCTATCTAAGTTTTCTTTTATTACTTCTACCATTTCACTAATTCATCTATTTGTTATTTATATTGTAAATAGATTCTTAGTAATTCTTAGTCACAGTCATTTCATAGCAATATTATTCCATTCTTAACATACGTATTATTTATATAATTTACTTTTGTTATTATTTCTATATAATTTGAGATAAAACAAATTTTTAATTTGTTCTTCACTTCCTTTAAAAATTCAAAGTCAAAACTCAAAAAAGAAAAATTAAAAAAAAGAACAAAAACCCTGTAGAATTAAAAGAGTCAGAAGCAAGTAATATGAAAGCAAAAGGAACTAAGAAACAAATTGTAGAGAAGAAGAATGTTTTCTTTACTAAAACTGGGCTTGATGCAGATTTTGTAACAACACTCTCTGACCATATCTTTATGTTTTTATTAAATAAAGGGGGAGCTACAGTTATTGAAACTTATGATTATGTTAGAGAGTCAGGGATATCGAATGTAGACATTAAGAAAGAAGAAATTTTATCATTACTTGAACGATTAGTTTATCTTGGGAACGCAGAAGTTTCTGTTGCAAAAAATAGTAATAGTAGTTTATATGGTTCAAAAGTGTTTAAACCAGTAAAATTTATGGTAGGAAGATGTCCATTATCTGAAGTTCCTTGTTATAATTGCCCATATTCATCAATTTGTTCACCAACAAATGTATCATGTAATCCAAGAAATTGTAAAGCTTTTGTTGATTTATTAAAAGTACCAGACGACCTATAGGAAAGAGATTTTTATTTACTTTTTACTAATTAAAACCACATTGATTGTATTTGTTTTATTATTTATTTATGGTTCGAAAGTTGTACATCAGATATAACACTACACAAAACCCTAAAATAAGTCAAGTCATTGAATCACCATTTAGCATTTGGCTATGATATTGCCTTTTAGTTTGAAAATATCTTACCCAACACTGCAAGAATGGCAATGATTTTATTATTAATGATGATGGAATATTATTTATTATAATTGAAGAGTAAGTAGTTTATAAAGAAGTATTTATTATTGAACTACCATGATGCAACATATTTGATAGTTTTGGGATTATCAAAGGAAAAGGGTGTGCATATTTCTGGTGATAAATGAAACTATGGACTAGTAATATAGTAGTAATAGTATGTTCATTCAATATAAAATAACACTATAAAGAAAGAAGAATTTTAAAACACAATAAAATTCAAATAGAAATAGGGGTAATTACTTAAATGAGGAATAAATAGGTTGATGGTGCTTGAAAAGACAATAATTCAATCTAAATAAAAGAATGAAGAATAGAAAGTCACACTTCTCAATAAGATTAAAAACTAAATAATAAGTGAATAGTTGATGAATAAATATTTTTAAAGCATAAATATAGGATTAGCCTCTTATGAACCAAGAAGAGAAGAAAATAAATCTAATAACACTTAATTAACTAATTTTTTTCTTAATAATAAAAGAAAATATAAGACAAAAAAGGTTTGCAATATAAATCAATCAACAATTCCATACTTCAAAAGATATTCCCATATTGAAGTATTAAATAATTTAATCTTAGAGCAATTAACAATTTTAAAATTTTTACAATCCATAACATTTAGTGTTGTTAATGAATATGGTAGAGCCGTTTTGCCTAAAACAGGACATCCTTCAAATACTAAATTCTTTAATAAAGGAATATTCATATCCTTTGTATCAAAACAAACACATTCTAATGAAGGTATTTGTTTTAATGAAACTATTTTAACAGAATTTGGAAGATGAATAATTTTAACTCCAGCACACCTTTGTAGAGTTAAAGCATTTAATTTTTTTGGAAAAGAAAGACTTTCTGGGAATACACATTCAACAAAGTTAACTAATTCTAAGTTATCTCCTAAACGTGGAAATATTTCAGTAAAATTAATTTTGTTAAATGATATTGATACTAAACTATCCCAGTCATAGTCAACATATCCACTTATATAATTAATTCTTTTTTCTTCTGGTTTTCTTGTAGAGACTACTACACTTTTTGGAAGCATTTTTTCAATAATAGTTTTATTTAATAATGTTTCATTAGCAGCAAATTGAAATAGTCCTGTTGGCGTTAATACAAACCTTAATTGATTTTTACCTTCAACTACTTTATCTCTAGTAATATATGGTAATACTGAAATGTCAACTATTTCATCACAAACACATACAGTAATTTTTTCAGTTTCAATTGTTCTTAATTCTTTTATTGTATTTTCATTTACAGTCATTGCTTTTAACACAAATTCAGGATTAGATTTCATTTTTAATTCTTTTAATTTAGAAGTAATATCACTTAGTGGTGCTTTAATAATTACTTTTTCCAATAACTCTAATGATTCTAATTCTTTAATTGCACTTAAAAGATGATTATTATAGAAATCGTGTTGAAGGTCTAGTCTGAGTATTTTAAGTTTTACATTCCCTGAAATACACCCTCTTGAATAATGTTGCATTGAAATAGTTAAATCAACAACTTCAGCTTTTGGTAATATCTTACGAAAATTAAAATTAAATGAAGTAGTAACACGAAGATGTAAAGTTTCAACGTTTTTAATTCGTTCTAAAATATCCTTTCCTTTATCTTCTGATGAAAACGTATCAAGAAAATAATTATCACATGTCAACTCACGTATTACTGGAAATAATAATAGTTCTCTCATAAATTCTCTCTTTTCACTTGAAAAATAGAAATTTACATGACGTGCTAAAACAGCTTGTTGAAATCTTTTAGATATTAACATAACCTTTTTTAATTCATCAGCAACTCCCATATATTTTATTATCCTTGTAATAATAACTGATTCTATTATTGTTTTTTTTGGTAAATTCATACGTTTTATTAAGAGTTGTTTAATAAAATTTAAATGTTTTAAATAAACCTCTTGATAAGAAACAATTTGTGCTTGTTCGTCAAATCTTCTTATAAAGAAATCACATTCCTCTATTTTTTTTTTCAACAAATTTTCAGAAATGTCTTTGTCCTTTCTAAACTTCTCAAGAAGATAATTACTGTTTGAGTACTGGTCTTTTAATTCATTCATTTGCTCATTTAATTTAGAATTATATTTATCCATTTCTTGAAGTCCTTTTAAAGAGTTAACTTCTCTCTCTAACTCATCTTCGTTAATTATTCTTTGATAAAGTTGACTTTTATAAATTTCAGTCTCTACTTTAATTCTTGACTCAATTAACGTTGTTTTTTCTTTTTCTTTAGAGTTAATCTCATTTTCTATAAGTGTTATCTGATTACTAAGTTCTTCTCTTTTTTTTTGAAGCTCTTCTAAACTTAGTTCTTTCCCTTTATTCTTAATGCTCAGAGACATATTAAATTATTCATTTTTTTAGATCTTTTAAAACCCGTTATTGAGTTAATATCTTTATTATTTTTTTTACTATTAAAAACTATATTATTAACTTGTTTAAATTTTATTTCAGTTATTGTCATTTGTTTATAGATATAACAAAAAATTTGCAATAACAAAAATTAAATCTTTTTCTCTTTAACACTCTGAAAAAAAATTCCATAAAAAATTATGATTTAAAAAATAGAAAATTCTAAACTAGTTTTGTTTCTTTTTTTCAATAAAACATAAGAAACATTAAAGATATAAATTCTATTTATTTTTTATTATTATTAAATTAATGCTTAATTATAATTATAGTTAATGTTTAAGAAATGATGATATTATAACTTATTTCACAAAAAGACCAACTCACACAAAGAAAGGGTATTAACTAATAAGTAATTTATTAAGTATTAATAGAACTAGCTTCTATTGTTAATGGTTCAGGTGAGACTAATTCCCGAGTCTTCTTCTTGTATCTCTATTGAGTATGTTTGGTTATTAAGAATCAATATTCAATAACATTCATCATGTTTTTTATTACATGATTTTTTACGTCTTTAATGATGTCAATGTCAATTTTTAACTCTTTAATTAATTTAATACTTTCTCTATTTATTATTTCATTTCTTTCATTTTATTACTCTTTTCATTTTTCATCTCTGATTTTTCATCATGAACTTCATTCTATTCTTCATTTATCTTCATTCATATTGTGATATTCAATATTAGTCATATCAAATAATAGACCAATTCGATTCTTTTTATCTAATACGTACATGTCTGGTATTTTGTGATATTGTCATTCATTTTTATGCATTATTTGTTTGTTAAATATCATAGTGATGTCTTTATATTGTAACACTGTTTCATATGGTGGTTTTTATATTGAATATTTCCTGTATATTTTCTTATTAACATATCTTCAATTGTTATTTCATTTTGAATATTCAATAATAGTTAT